GAAGAAACAACGGAATCAGTAGAGAAAGACGATTTTTATGGCCTGGAGAGAATGGGGCACCTGGGTGTAACCAGAGTGTCTGGCCGGCTCACTACACTCTGACATATAACCAGATTGTGACCGACACCATCAGTATTGGAACTCTAATGCTATGATGTCAGTTCTTGACTCCACTTAACTCAACTCAACCATAACCTTTTAATACTGTTTACACCCGTGTGGGTTCCGGGGCCCCATTGTGGGGAAAACAAGAATAGACCCACTGCCTCAGCAAAAGCATGTTGTAAGAGTCGACTAATTGGGGAGCTTCCTTTGAAGTCGGAATGCATCTGCCGGAGAGGCAAGGAACCAACAGTCTGTATTCAAGAGAATGAGATCTGTAAAACTGATGCACACGCAACACTCGGGTTCTGGAGCAGGACTGCAGTTCAGTAGTGGACGAGCAACCAGAACTTTCCGCCAGTGTACAGCTTGTGAACGCGAAGAAGAAGAAGAAGAATCTTTGCATTGTATGGCCGTCCTCCTTTTAATTTCAACTACTATTACTAAACAATTAAACAAGGCTTAGGTCCCCATGGAGTCCACTGCAAGAAAAAGTGCAAGGAGGTTGAGGTCCGGCAATGTTTTCTTTGTTTCGCACCTCTGATTCTACCACCGTTTCCAGAGACAAGTTAACATTGTGTGACCTCTCAACAAACAAAACATCAGTAGGCCTGTCTGGGAGAAATCCACAACACAACCAGCCAAACAAAGAGGTCCCACATGTTGGAGACCGCTGACATAACCGACAATGTTGTGACGCAATTGGGAGACGTTGGGCAACCTTCCAGGTGTTGGGGCTGACCTCTACCTCAACCTGGCTCTCATTGTGTTACATATGCCAGATAGAATTTGTCTCAAATGTGTAAATAGTCCTCCAATTACTATAGTGTTATCAAACAATGTGTGGCATATTGTTGGTAGTTTTTATCTATAAAACACTTTTGTAACAGTCTACAATGTAACACATTATAGTGTTAATATATATATTTATGGTGAATATGAATGTTAATAATATTGTATAACTGCCTGTGTGATAACTTGAAGTGTGCAAGAAATCCGGCCAGGATCGTGTCAAGGTCGTCCTGTTCGTCTGCTGGCTCAGAGCTCGTCGACACGGGTTTGTTTCTCTGTTGTTTCTCTGTTGTTTCTCTTTGTTGTTGATTTCTCTGTTTAGTGTTTGTTTCTCTTATGTATGTCAGTTGTTTAATTGTTGACTGGTTTGTTTCTCTGTGTAGTCTACAATTCTAGCTGTATACAGTAACCAGTGAAAAGTTGCCCCTGTCTTCTCTACTGACCTCTTTCTAAGAATCCACGAACTATCGCCGGCCTGGCGTCTCTGCTACTTGTTCTGTCTGGGACTGTAGTGTTCAGTGAACCTTACCCTGCTCTCCTCATCACTCTCCTACCCAAGTTGACAAACTTGTTTTGCCTCGAATGTTTCTGAAAGTTCTCTAGCTCTTCCACTACCTGTTTGTGAAATAACATTACTGACGGTGTACTAACAGCGGGACCTTTACCAACAGCTCCTAGTTGAGATCGTCGTATCTTGTGTACGTGTACTCAGTACAGTACTCACCGAGTATCATGTCTCAGGTATGGTTTGACCATGTTCACACAGAGTAACAACAGATCTCTTTATCTCTGTATCTGACATTTTGTGATACCTGCTATTACCATGACTCTGCTCATGTAGCCGTCATTTTTGTGTACTTTTATTCAGTAGTTTCTTTCTGGTGTTTGACATTCCTTCCACTCTTGTCTTCACTGTCTACAGTGTGTTTTATTGAATCCTGTGAGCTACTGCTAACCGTCAAATAAGAAAGTGTTTAGTACTTGAAGTTGTTTACAGTCAGTGACATAGCTGAAGTTGTTAACACTTGCCAGTCAGTGACATAACTGTTGTTGTTAACACTTGCCAGTCAGTGACATAACTGTTGTTGTTAACACTTGCCAGTCAGTGACATAGCTGTTGTTGCTAACACTTGCCAGTCAGTGACATAGCTGTTGTTGTTAACACTTGCCAGTCAGTGACATAGCTGTTGTTGTTAACATTTGCCAGTCATTGACATAGCTGTTGTTGTTAACACTTGCCAGTCAGTGACATAGCTGTTGTTAACATTTGCCAGTCATTGACATAGCTGTTGTTGCTAACACTTGCCAGTCAGTGACATAACTGTTGTTGTTAACATTTGCCAGTCATTGACATAGCTGTTGTTGCTAACACTTGCCAGTCATTGACATAGCTGTTGTTAACACTTGCCAGTCAGTGACATAGCTTAAGTTGTTAACACTTGCCAGTCTTGACATAGCTGGTGTTGAGCTCATTGTGACATTTGTGGATTCACTTATAGGGCCATCCGTATTTTGTCAAGAGTGCAGTTCATAATAGCTTTTATTAGCATTGCAGTATATTAATATTCAAATTTAACCAGCTGATATAGAAGAGGAAAGACCACAATGGGCACATCAGTTTAACAGTAGTCGAAACTACAAGAGAACTCGGGGAGGGGTTTATAAATTTATATCATGGGGGGGGGGAGGGGTGCGCTCTAATTTTATCATAGGATCTTTTCTGAATCACGAATGTGATCACAAGAAGAAGGAAGCTCTGTGTCACACTTGGGTAGGACACTTAACCCTTTGGAGACGGAATATTTTTGGAGTTTTGGTGCCAAGAGGACGGAGCCTTCAGGAGGGGATTTTCATCGTTAATACACAAACAATTATAAAAAAATAAGGCGTTTAATTAACATATACAAACTATTCATATTTGGGAAATTAAATGAACTAACAGAATATTTATGAATCAAACTGAAATCTCAACATTTATTCAAATTAATTGTTCTGATTTGCAAAATTAATGCAAATAATTTTTTTTTAAATTAGGGTACAAACATAACCTGAAAAATATGGGTGAATTTGTGTATGGATGAAGCTTGAATAAGTCCTAACACCTGTATTTTGGAAAGTAAGGCCCTTGGAGGTCCTTCAGATGCGTCTGGCACATGATTCTGCTCATTTTTCTGCCACCACTATGTTTCAGTTGCTATGACGCAACAGCCATTTTTAGGCACAGGTAACCCTAGAGAAAATTTGATGTAAAATTACAGAACACATAAAACGTACTGGAAAGCCATCAATGAACAGTCCACATGTGCAAGAAATGTGAGAAGCAGTCTGATTGGCTGGTACGAAAACCAATAGCAAGACTTCTATTATATAGGGCTGACCGATCAACCCAGTCATACTCTAGGCTACTTTCTGTTGGGCCGATATTTCAGCCGCATTGTGTCTATAAACACACATCCACACCCAGCGCACATGATAGAAAACAGACAAGAATCAAGCACACTTTTTGTTTGAAACAACATTGATACTTATATTTATTGGGAATAAGATACATGTACCCAGGAAGGCTGACATGGGCAGCAAGTGCTTGCAGAAGTAGGATGTGTCGACCAAAAGGTGCAAACATCACACCCATATTGTAAATGGGCAAGATACGATTATCTCTTCAGATGAATCCAGAAGAAGATGACAAATGTTTATTATACACTAAAGAGGAATGATATCAGTGTGTTTTACCATGCAGTTGGGGGAGTGGTATAGATACAGTCTCTGACTCCAGATGAAGATCAAAGACTTATCATAGAGCAGTTTTCCTTTCACTCACACAAGAATGCCAAACACATGGGTGGCAAGTCTGTACCCCCACTCACACACAACCACACACATCACCTGGCTCAGCTAACTGCTATGCTGTCTGCATGCTGTCACTCATGTGTATCCTGTTTAGGACAGATTTTATTTGCTGCCCCCATTTCCTAACTGACATCTTAATGTGACCTCTCAATGTTTCTAGGTCATATCTGTTGTGAAACTTGATAGGTAAACACGGCCTGTTAAAAGAAGTGGACAAATGCAGTTCTGACTGGGTGATTTGTCTGGCAATAGAAGGTGCCAGTGCATCCCAGGCCTGTCAACTGATTAAGGAGTTTATTTCTCTGATTACAAAGTTGGTTACCTGCATAATTTAAATAAGTTGGTCAGTACAGGAGTATATATACACACACACACACACACACACATATATATATATATATATATATATATATATATATATATATATATATATATATATATATATATATATATATATATATATATATATATATATATAGGTATTTACATTAGTATAGAACAAAGGGCACAATGTTAGGTTGGAACACTTACTGACCACAGTGTAAGTAACATACTACAGCGACTTTATCTCAGATGCTGGTTGTGTGTCATTCTTCAGTGTGCTGAGATGTATACTGTCAGTTGCACTTGTTTTAACCGGAGTCTAGCATATGAAATAGTGTTTAGCTTTGCCAGCAAAGTTGTCCAGGTTATGAAGTGAACAAGCATTGTCTTGTCTAGCATCACTAGCAGTGATGTCAACTTGAATATAAAGGACACATCTCTCTTTTTGTAACACATGCAAATGTCACTTGATAACATCTTCTGTGGGTTATTCGAGTGCCTATCGCAAGATAAAACAGTTGGTCACTTAGAGACCATGTACACCTGGACATCACATGTGGGATATGTACGCATATCACAGCTGGGAAACAACAACTGACACAAGTTACATCATTCATTTGCTGTACCATGCCAGAAGATGGCTAAACATCCTGACATAAATCACAGGGATAACAAGACATCCTGACATCAATCACAGGGATAACAAGGAGATTCAATAGGTGATCAAAAACAACACAGGCTTTCTTAGTCAACAAGATTCTCACAGGTCATCAATCCCAGCTAGCTAGCTACAGCTGCAGTGTAAACACTGTGGACACAGTTGTAACATACTTTCTGTCAGAAAAATATTATGACATCTGCTTGTATTGTGTGTAGTTTATATTCTAGTATCTGATATCTCTCTGTCCACAGTGCCTTATTCCAAGAACATAATGGGCATTATCCGTGTCAGCTCGCACGCTCTACGAAAACTCTCAGCCAGCAACAGGAAAGCTTGTCGCAGCTATTCTTCTCATGTTTCTCAACCACTTTACAAGACACAAGTGAGTTTAGATATTAAGACCCCATAGTCTCTACATTAGATCTGGTCTCTCTGTAGTGTGACTGGCCAGTCACTGTAGCAAATCTGATGTCTGTATAGTGTGACTGGCCAGTCTCTACAGCAAATTTGGTGTCTATAGTGTGACTGGCCAGTCACTATAGCAGATCTGGTGTCTATATAGTGTGACTGGTTAGTCTCTGTAGCAGATCTGGTGTTGGTATAGTGTTCTGGTTAGTTTCTTTAGCAAATCTGGTGTCTAAATAGTATGACTGGTTAGTCTCTAGCAGATCTGGTGTCTGTATAGTGTGACTGGTTAGTCTCTGTAGCAGATCTGGTGTCTGTATAGTGTGACTGGTTAGTCTCTTCAGCAGATCTGGTGTCTGTATAGTGTGACTGGTTAGTCTTTTCAGCAGATCTGGTGTCTGTATAGTGTGACTAGTTAGTCTCTTCAGCAGATCTGGTGTCTGTATAGTGTGACTGGTTAGTCTCTGTAGCAGATCTGGTGTCTGTATAGTGTGACTGGTTAGTCTCTGTAGCAGATCTGGTGTCTTTATAGTGTGACTGGTTAGTCTGTAGCAGATCTGGTGTCGGTATAGTGTGACTGGTTAGTTTCTTTAGCAGATCTGGTGTCTTTATAGTGTGACTGGTTAATTTCTTCAGCAAATCTGGTGTCTTTATAGTGTGACTGGTTAGTCTCTAGCAGATCTGGTGTCTAAATAGTATGACTGGTTAGTCTCTAGCAGATCTGGTGTCTGTATAGTGTGACTGGTTAGTCTCTGTAGCAGATCTGGTGTCTGTATCTTGTGACTGGTTAGTCTCTGTAGCAGATCTGGTGTCTGTATAGTGTGACTGGTTAGTCTCTTCAGCAGATCTGATGTCTATATAGTGTGACTGGTTAGTCTCTGTAGCAGATCTGGTGTCTGTATAGTGTGACTGGTTAGTCTCTGTAGCAGATCTGGTGTCTGTATAGTGTGACTGGTTAGTCTCTGTAGCAGATCTGGTGTCTGTATAGTATGACTGGTTAGTCTCTGTAGCAGATCTGGTGTCTGTATAGTGTGACTGGTTAGTCTCTGTAGCAGATCTGATGTCTATATAGTGTGACTGGTTAGTCTCTTCAGCAGGTCTGGAGTCTATATAGTGTGACTGGTCAGTCTCTTCAGCAGATCTGGTGTCTATACAGTGTGACTGGTTAGTCTCTTCAGCACATCTGATGTCTATACAGTGTGACTGGTCAGTCTAATTAGCACATCTGATGTCTATACAGTGTGACTGGTCAGTCTAATTAGCACATCTGATGTCTATACAGTGTGACTGGTCAGTCTAATTAGCACATCTGATGTCTATACAGTGTGACTGGTCAGTCTCATTAGCACATCTGATGTCTATACAGTGTGACTGGTCAGTCTCATTAGCACATCTGATGTCTGTGCAGTGTGACTGGTCAGTCTCTTCAGCAAATCTGATGTGTGTGCAGTGTGACTGGTCAGTATATTAGCACATTTGATGTCTGTACAGTGTGACTGGTCAGTCTAATTAGCACATCTGATGTCTATACAGTGTGACTGGTCAGTCTCTTCAGTAGATCTGATGTCTATACAGTGTGACTGGTCAGTCTCTTCAGCAAATCTGACTATACAGGTGACTGGTCAGTCTCTTCAGCAAATCTGATGTCTATATTGTGTGACTGGTCAGTCTCTTCAGCAAATCTGATGTCTATATTGTGACTGGTCAGTCTCTGTAGCAGATCTGATGTCTATACAGTGTGACTGGTCAGTCTCTTCAGCAGATCTGATGTCTATAGTGTGTGACTGGTCAGTCTCTTCAGCAGATCTGATGTCTATATAGTGTGTGACTGGTCAGTCTCTTCAGCAGAACTGATGTCTATAGTGTGTGACTGGTCAGTCTCTTCAGCAAATCTGATGTCTATACAGTGTGACTGGTCAGTCTCTGTAGCAGATCTGATGTCTATATTGTGTGACTGGTCAGTCTCTTCAGCAGAACTGATGTCTATATTGTGTGACTGGTCAGTCTCTTCAGCAAATCTGATGTCTATATAGTGTGACTGGTCAGTCTCTTCAGCAAATCTGATGTCTATACAGTGTGACTGGTCAGTCTAATTAGCACATCTGATGTCTATACAGTGTGACTGGTCAGTCTAATTAGCACATCTGATGTCTATACAGTGTGACTGGTCAGTCTAATTAGCACATCTGATGTCTATACAGTGTGACTGGTCAGTCTCTTCAGCACATCTGATGTCTATACAGTGTGACTGGTAAGTCTCATTAGCACATCTGATGTCTATACAGTGTGACTGGTCAGTCTCATTAGCACATCTGATGTCTGTGCAGTGTGACTGGTCAGTCTCTTCAGCAAATCTGATGTGTGTGCAGTGTGACTGGTCAGTATATTAGCACATTTGATGTCTGTACAGTGTGACTGGTCAGTCTAATTAGCACATCTGATGTCTATACAGTGTGACTGGTCAGTCTCTTCAGTAGATCTGATGTCTATACAGTGTGACTGGTCAGTCTCTTCAGCAAATCTGATGTCTATACAGTGTGACTGGTCAGTCTCTTCAGCAAATCTGATGTCTATATAGTGTGACTGGTCAGTCTCTTCAGCAAATCTGATGTCTATACAGTGTGACTGGTCAGTCTCTGTAGCAGATCTGATGTCTATACAGTGTGACTGGTCAGTCTCTTCAGCAGATCTGATGTCTATAGTGTGTGACTGGTCAGTCTCTTCAGCAGATCTGATGTCTATAGTGTGTGACTGGTCAGTCTCTTCAGCAGAACTGATGTCTATAGTGTGTGACTGGTCAGTCTCTTCAGCAAATCTGATGTCTATACAGTGTGACTGGTCAGTCTCTGTAGCAGATCTGATGTCTATATTGTGTGACTGGTCAGTCTCTTCAGCAGAACTGATGTCTATATTGTGTGACTGGTCAGTCTCTTCAGCAAATCTGATGTCTATATAGTGTGACTGGTCAGTCTCTTCAGCAAATCTGATGTCTATACAGTGTGACTGGTCAGTCTCTGTAGCAGATCTGATGTCTATACAGTGTGACTGGTCAGTCTCTTCAGCAGATCTCATGTCTATAGTGTGTGACTGGTCAGTCTCTTCAGCAGATCTGATGTCTATAGTGTGTGACTGGTCAGTCTCTTCAGCAGAACTGATGTCTATAGTGTGTGACTGGTCAGTCTCTTCAGCAGAACTGATGTCTATAGTGTGTGTGACTGGTCAGTCTCTTCAGCAGAACTGATGTCTATAGTGTGTGACTGGTCAGTCTCTTCAGCAGATCTGATGTCTATAGTTTGTGACTGGTCAGTCTCATTAGCACATCTGATGTCTATACAGTGTGACTGGTCAGTCTCTTTAGCACATCTGATGTCTATACAGTGTGACTGGTCAGTCTCTTTAGCACATCTGATGTCTATACAGTGTGACTGGTAAGTCTCTTCAGCAGATCTGATGTCTATAAAGTGTGACTGGTCAGTCTCTTCAGCAAATCTGATGTGTGTGCAGTGTGACTGGTCAGTCTCTTTAGCAAATCTGATGTGTGTACAGTGTGACTGGTCAGTCTCATCAGCAGATCTTGAAGGACAAGTAAGAAACTGGGAATCTCAGCTTGTTATCTAACTCTGTTATAATCTGGTGTCTATATAGTGTGACTGGTCAGTCTCTTCAGCAGATCTGGTGTCTATACAGTGTGACTGGTCAGTCTCTTCAGCAGATCTGGTGTCTATACAGTGTGACTGGTCAGTCTCTTCAGCAAATCTGATGTGTGTGCAGTGTGACTGGTCAGTATATTAGCACATTTGATGTCTGTACAGTGTGACTGGTCAGTCTAATTAGCACATCTGATGTCTATACAGTGTGACTGGTCAGTCTCTTCAGTAGATCTGATGTCTATACAGTGTGACTGGTCAGTCTCTTCAGCAAATCTGATGTCTATACAGTGTGACTGGTCAGTCTCTTCAGCAAATCTGATGTCTATATTGTGTGACTGGTCAGTCTCTTCAGCAAATCTGATGTCTATATTGTGTGACTGGTCAGTCTCTGTAGCAGATCTGATGTCTATACAGTGTGACTGGTCAGTCTCTTCAGCAGATCTGATGTCTATAGTGTGTGACTGGTCAGTCTCTTCAGCAGATCTGATGTCTATAGTGTGTGACTGGTCAGTCTCTTCAGCAGAACTGATGTCTATAGTGTGTGACTGGTCAGTCTCTTCAGCAAATCTGATGTCTATACAGTGTGACTGGTCAGTCTCTGTAGCAGATCTGATGTCTATATTGTGTGACTGGTCAGTCTCTTCAGCAGAACTGATGTCTATATTGTGTGACTGGTCAGTCTCTTCAGCAAATCTGATGTCTATATAGTGTGACTGGTCAGTCTCTTCAGCAAATCTGATGTCTATACAGTGTGACTGGTCAGTCTAATTAGCACATCTGATGTCTATACAGTGTGACTGGTCAGTCTAATTAGCACATCTGATGTCTATACAGTGTGACTGGTCAGTCTAATTAGCACATCTGATGTCTATACAGTGTGACTGGTCAGTCTCTTCAGCACATCTGATGTCTATACAGTGTGACTGGTAAGTCTCATTAGCACATCTGATGTCTATACAGTGTGACTGGTCAGTCTCATTAGCACATCTGATGTCTGTGCAGTGTGACTGGTCAGTCTCTTCAGCAAATCTGATGTGTGTGCAGTGTGACTGGTCAGTATATTAGCACATTTGATGTCTGTACAGTGTGACTGGTCAGTCTAATTAGCACATCTGATGTCTATACAGTGTGACTGGTCAGTCTCTTCAGTAGATCTGATGTCTATACAGTGTGACTGGTCAGTCTCTTCAGCAAATCTGATGTCTATACAGTGTGACTGGTCAGTCTCTTCAGCAAATCTGATGTCTATATAGTGTGACTGGTCAGTCTCTTCAGCAAATCTGATGTCTATACAGTGTGACTGGTCAGTCTCTGTAGCAGATCTGATGTCTATACAGTGTGACTGGTCAGTCTCTTCAGCAGATCTGATGTCTATAGTGTGTGACTGGTCAGTCTCTTCAGCAGATCTGATGTCTATAGTGTGTGATGGTCAGTCTCTTCAGCAGAAACTGATGTCTATAGTGTGTGACTGGTCAGTCTCTTCAGCAAATCTGATGTCTATACAGTGTGACTGGTCAGTCTCTGTAGCAGATCTGATGTCTATATTGTGTGACTGGTCAGTCTCTTCAGCAGAACTGATGTCTATATTGTGTGACTGGTCAGTCTCTTCAGCAAATCTGATGTCTATATAGTGTGACTGGTCAGTCTCTTCAGCAAATCTGATGTCTATACAGTGTGACTGGTCAGTCTCTGTAGCAGATCTGATGTCTATACAGTGTGACTGGTCAGTCTCTTCAGCAGATCTCATGTCTATAGTGTGTGACTGGTCAGTCTCTTCAGCAGATCTGATGTCTATAGTGTGTGACTGGTCAGTCTCTTCAGCAGAACTGATGTCTATAGTGTGTGACTGGTCAGTCTCTTCAGCAGAACTGATGTCTATAGTGTGTGACTGGTCAGTCTCTTCAGCAGAACTGATGTCTATAGTGTGTGACTGGTCAGTCTCTTCAGCAGATCTGATGTCTATAGTTTGTGACTGGTCAGTCTCATTAGCACATCTGATGTCTATACAGTGTGACTGGTCAGTCTCTTTAGCACATCTGATGTCTATACAGTGTGACTGGTCAGTCTCTTTAGCACATCTGATGTCTATACAGTGTGACTGGTAAGTCTCTTCAGCAGATCTGATGTCTATAAAGTGTGACTGGTCAGTCTCTTCAGCAAATCTGATGTGTGTGCAGTGTGACTGGTCAGTCTCTTTAGCAAATCTGATGTGTGTACAGTGTGACTGGTCAGTCTCATCAGCAGATCTTGAAGGACAAGTAAGAAACTGGGAATCTCAGCTTGTTATCTAACTCTGTTATAATCTGGTGTCTATATAGTGTGACTGGTCAGTCTCTTCAGCAGATCTGGTGTCTATACAGTGTGACTGGTCAGTCTCTTCAGCAGATCTGGTGTCTATATAGTGTGACTGGTCAGTCTCATCAGCAGATCTGATGTCTGTATAGTGTGACTGATAAGTTGCTTCGGTAGATTGGGTGTCTTTTAACTTTAGTTCTGATGCATTTGTTACAATATAACTGTGAGTCTGTTTTGAAGAAAGGTTGTAAAGACAGCACCAGTCATACTGACACATGTATACTTGTCTGCATGTTTGCCTCCATAAATGTGTGGGCTGTCTCTCTTTATCATGTTTATTGAGAGAGAGAAAATGTTATAGTGTGTACAGGTTGCAGTAACAGTGTGTGTTATAGTAGCAGTGGGTGTACAGGTAATAGTAGCAGTGTTTGTACATGTTATAGTAACAGTGTGTGTACATGTTATAGTAACAGTGTGTGTGTAGAAGTTATAGTAGCAGTGTGTGTACAGGTTATAGTAGCAGTGTGTGTACAGGTTATAGTAGCAGTGTGTGTACAGGTTATAGTAGCAGTGTGTGTACAGGTTATAGTAGCAGTGTGTGTACAGGTTGTAGTAGCAGTGTGTGTACAGGTTGTAGTAGCAGTGTGTGTACAGGTTATAGTAGCAGTGTGTGTACAGGTTATAGTAGCAGTGTGTGTACAGGTTATAGTAGCAGTGTGTGTAGAGGTTATAGTAGCAGTGTGTGTACAGGTTATAGTAGCAGTGTGTGTACAGGTAATGGTAGCAGTGTATGAGATAAGGATAAGGAATAAGCATATGAGTATTTTTAATACAAGTTTTTGCTTGAGCAGTTAAAAAATTAGTGGGACCTAAGAATTAGTGTAAAGCTGTTCTGAATGGACATAAATATGAACTATATTTGTGTTTGTGTCCACAGCAAGGTGTTGTCCTAGGACAGGCACAGACCCAGTCCAACGGCTGGGTTATACCTGCAGCACTGGCTATCGTAGGTTTAGGAGTGTCTACGTTCTCCACCCAACAACTGGTGTCTGGCACCGACACCATCAAGATGTTCTCCTCACACACAACAGCCAAACAATAGCCTCCTGGAGACCCTGCACAGATTCTTGCCTCACTGACTCTAGCCATGTTGAAACCATGTTTGCCAACTGCCTTGTTTTAGCTGTGATCAACATTTGCCTTGTTCTGTAGATTGGGCCATGCATCCATCAGTTGTTGTCTGTGTGGGAGTGTGTTGTCAGCTCTGTGGACAAGTGTGTTACTCTTTCACACCACCTGTGAACCAGCACTCTGATTTTTATGTCAGCCTGGTGCCTTTCGGTGAATTGCTATCATGAATGTCCCGAGTATCATTAGAATATGTTCATCATTAATACAATTGTCTCTCCATTGATATCCAGGATATCAGTGATGTCACTCATGTGCACACACTCAGACTCACACACAAACATACAACTGCTAGAAATGCGTTGACTTCAGAAATAATTAAGCTTGTCAATCATTTGTAACCTTCCCTAGAAATGCATCCGTTTTACCAAACAAGACTTTCCGAGATTGATGAGAAGCAGTTTCTTGTTCATCGTTTAACTTTACCAAGTGTATGTATCTGCTGCTGTGTTGTGTGACTGTACGGCTCACTGTAGGGAAATAAACCTCCAAGGGACTGTCGTCACCGTAAGTGCTGACTGTCACTGTGTGACAACCATGTCTGGTGAGGGAGCCATGCTGTCATCGAGTCACACAAATAGTTGTTGATGATAGTACATTGTTGAATCCATGCTTGCACCCACAGGCGGTATTGTGGCTTTATCTGCTTTGTTTTATGGCTCTTTCTAAGCTGTGTTGGGGGATTGTTTTTCTGTAACCACATCAGTAGAGTAGAAGTAGCATGAACTTGTAGTCTGGAACCACTGGTGAGAGACCAGGCTATGTTTGACATCCTAACATTGCTTCAGCTCATGTATTTGTGGGCTTCAGCTCATGTATTTGTGGGCTTCAGCTCATGTATTTGTGGGCTTCAGCTCATGTATTTGTGGGCTTCAGCTCATGTATTTGTGGGAGTACATTAGGTGGTGATATGGGTACCAAAACATGTAACCTTATCTATCTATCACCTAGCCTGTGTGAAGAGCCATGATTGGGCAGTGTTATATTAGAACCTGCCGTGAAAACTGTCTGCACAGTTTGTTGCTGTCATCAGCCGGTGGCCAGCTAGCACTCTGCAGGTTATCTGGTTGATGACTGTTGGTTTGGTGTGGGCAATGTACACAGTCTAGCAGCTGCAAGTGACAGCACAGTTCAGACCAGCAATAAGAAACTAGACTGGTCAGAAATGAGAAACTAGACTGGTCAGAAATGAGAAACTAGACTGGTCAGAAATGAGAAACTAGACTGGTCAGAAATGAGAAACTAGACTGGTCAGAAATGAGAAACTAGACGTCAGAAAAACTATATAATTTTAGTCATGTCAAATGTTGAAGATATTTGCTATAGGGGTTGTGCTGTTGATGGTCACATGACACACATATGTTTCTTATCTTGATGAAGTTTATGTAAAAGATGGTGAGCCAGAACACAAGATCTGCAAATACATGAGCCTTATATTTTGTATCTCACTTGTTTGTGTTATTTATGCTGTCCAGTGAACTGTCGTTAACCTATTTGTCTTAGTTATTTTAATGTTCTTATCTGCTTTGTGTTACTTATACTGTCCTGTGAAATTTCCTTTTCCCATGTGTCCAAGCTATGTAGAGTGAGTGGTTGTTGTATAAAAACAATACTGTTATTTATGGTTGTGTTGTGACTGGCAAAGGCACCAAAACAATGTCACTCTACACTGACAGCAGAGACTAAGGGTCAGTCGTGTATGTATGTAAGTAAGTAAAGTAAAGGACCCTTTCCATGCCTTTAGGCATATAGGGCTAGACCTATATTTTTATAGACCAACGGCACAAGATAGGTGATGTGGTCAGCATCACGCCGGCCGCCTCTACTTCCCGGGATTGCACCCGGTACCCACTCAAGGCTGGGTCGACCTGGGAGCCAAGGTCATTTTTGAAGAAAAGTCCGTCTCCGCCAGGGAGCGAATCCACGACCTTCCGATCCGCGGCGCGCGTCTAGCCGCTCTGCCACGGCGACTACCGTCGTGTATGTGTCTTGACAGTAAGTATGTTTCACACATGCACGTGTTCTGTCTGCCTTCCTCTCTCTCTCTCTCTCTCTCTCTCTCTCTCTCTCTCTCTCTCTCTCTCTCTCTCTCTCTCTCTCTCTCTCTCTCTCTCTCCGTCTCCCCCGTGTGTCTTATCTTTGAGTCTCTCCTACCACCCCACTTCCCCTGTCAACACACTCGCACACACTGCCTATTATATTCACTCACACAGCCACCCTTATCTCCAAGTTTCCTCAGCTTAGTATCATCTCTATCTACTTATCACCCACATCAGCGTGCAAAGTTTTATTTCAACCGGAACATCAATACTAGATGAGTCTATCCAGTGATTTCTTGGATCACAAGACAAACCATACTTGGATCACAAGACAAAACAATACTTGGATCACAAGACAAACAAACTATACTTGGATCACAAGACAAACAAACCATACTTGGATCACAAGACAAACAAACCATACTTGGATCACAAGACAAACTATACTTGGATCACAAGACAAACAAACCATACTTGGATCACAAGACAATCAAACCATACTTGGATCACAAGACAAACAAACCATACTTGGATCACAAGACAAACAAACTATACTTGGATCACAAGACAAACAAACCATACTTGGATCACAAGACAAACAAACTATACTTGGATCACAAGACAAACAAACTATACTTGGATCACAAGACAAACAAACCATACTTGGATCACAAGACAAACTATACTTGCATCACAAGACAAACAAAACTTACTTGCATCACAAGACAAAACAATACCTGGATCACAAGACAAACAAACCATACTTGGATCACAAGACAAACAAAGCATTCTTGGATCACAAGACAAACAAACCATACTTGGATCACAAGACAAACAAAGCATTCTTGGATCACAAGACAAACAAACCATACATGGATCACAAGACAAACAAACCATACTTGGATCACAAGACAAACAAACCATACATGGATCACAAGACAAACAAACCATACTTGCATCACAAGACAAAACAATACTTGGATCACAAGACAAACAAACCATGCTTGGATCACAAGACAAACAAAGCATTCTTGGATCACAAGACAAACCTACATATTTATTTAACAATCAAACGCAAAACCCAGTTCTCGTCAAACTTCTGATTTTTTATGTACGTTTTTGTTTTCCTGCAGTGAAGCATGTGACAAGATGTAGAGTCTGATAACCTCATATAGATGTCGGAGTAATCGCCGCGTGCTGGAATTGATCTGAAATTGAAAGCAGAAGAAACCAGTGGAATGGGAACCGCATTTCTGTCGTTCCTGTCTTTTTGGGAGAGGAGTAAACTGGTTGAGGATCATAGGACTGGGTGTAGTTCTCTCTGTCTATCTTAAATTCTTTCTGACAGACAGTAACACACACAAGAGCACACGCACACGCGCGCGATGTCTTTACCCAGTCAGTCAACCCACGATGTCTTTACCCAGTCAGTCAACCCACGATGTCTTTACCCAGTCAGTCAACCCACGATGTATTTACCCAGTCAGTCAACCCACGATGTCTTTACCCAGTCAGTCAACCCACGATGTCTTTACCCAGTCAGTCAACCTACGATGTCTTTACCCAGTCAGTCAACCCACGATGTCTTTACCCAGTCAATCAACCCACGATGTCTTTACCCAGTCAGTCAACGGTGAATGATTTACATAGTCAACGGACGAAGACTTCACCCAGTCAGTCAACCCACAATATCATTACCCATTCAGTCAACTGATAATATCATTACCCATTCAGTCAACTGATAATATCATTACCCATTTGTCAACGCAAGCTGTCTTTACCCAGTCAGTTAACGGACGATGGCTTTACCCCGTCAGTCAGCACATGATGATTTTACCCATTCAATGGAAGATGTCTTTATCCAGTCAGTGGACGATGATTTTACCAGTCAGTAACTGAGGAGTCTTTACCCAGTCAGTAAGTGAGGAATCTTTACCCAGTCAATGGACGATATCTTAACCCAGTCAGTAACTGAGGGGTGTTTACCCAGTAAGTAACTGACGAGTCTTTACCCAGTCAGTGGACGATGTCTTTACCCAGTCAGTAACTGAGGAGCCTTTACGCAGTCAATGGACTATGTCTTTACCCAGTCAATGGACAATGTCTTTATCCAGTCAATGGACGATGTCTTTACCCAGTCAGTAACTAACGAGCCTTTACCCAGTCAATGAACGATGTCTTTACCCAGTCAATGGACGATGTCTTTACCCAGTCAGTGGACGATGTCTATACACAATCAATAGATAATGTCTTTACCCAGTCAGTAACTGACGAGTCTATACCCAGTCTGTTAAAGCAGGCTGTCTTTTCCCAGTCTATGAACCAGCTAAGCGGCGTGTCTTATTTCAGAGGTCAAAGACATCGTTTGTGTGATAAAAACATCTGCGATTGAGCCCAATATTTTTCTTCTGTTGACAGCAGTGCTCTACAGTGTGCTTCACAGAACATCTCAGTGCTCTACAGTGTGCTTGACAGAACATCTCAGTGCTCTACAGTGTTCTTGACAGAACATCACAGTGCTCTACAATGTGCTTGACAGAACATCACAGTGCTCTACAGTGTGCTTCACAGAACATCTCAGTGCTCTACAGTGTGCTTGACAGAACATCTCAGTGCTCTACAGTGTGCTTGACAGAACATCTCAGTGCTTTACAGTGTGCTTGACAGAACATCTCAGTGCTCTACAGTGTGCTTGACAGAACATCTCAGTGCTCTACAGTGTGCTTGACAGAACATCTCAGTGCTCTACAGTGTGCTTGACAGAACATCTCAGTGCTCTACAGTGTGCTTGACAGAACATCACAGTGCTCTACAGTGTGCTTGGAGTGCCCTTTTATATATTTGGGGTGACTTTAAACAACGCGGAAAATAGCAT